AAAATGAATTTTTAGGACTATTGATTTTTAATTCAATATTTGTCTTTTTTTGAGTTAAAAAAAAACATGTTACATTATTAATTACATTTGGCAGTCTGTGTTCCTCTGTAGATATACTGATGTTGATGAAAGCAAAGACAATTTTTTTCACAGTGATGATGAGATTTTTCAAGAAAAAAAAATTTGAAATTCTATAGTTTTTTATTTTTTATTTTTTAAAATGCTGTTATGAGTTTTGTTCTTACGTTAAATTCTAAATTTTATGGGAAGAACCGATCAGATTTTTTATTTTTCGATTTTTGTACATGTAAAAATTTATTTGTACGCAAAAGTTTTTCAGAAAACAGTTTACTGAAAAGACGCAGAGAACATACGAAAAGGATGCAGTAAATTTTTTTTTTTCTCAATAGGGATACATTAAAGATAACGTTACACCATTAGTTGATACCAATGATTTTTTGTGTTGAACGACAGTGAGCCTCTTGTTCCACTTATGTATTTCACGAACCCCACAGACAGATGTTAGGGAAAGGTTTTCAAGTATAACTACCCCCATTTTCATGCCGTATGGAGAAAATCAAGAAAATCCAAAGGCAGTTTGACTATCGATGAGCGACAGTTTTAAGTATGTTATAATCACCATTGAATCTTTTCATTTCTGAAAAACAGCAGACGCCACCAATGGATTTGAACCTGAGACATCATTGATGTAGCTATGCACGTTACCTGACCCAAGCATCTTGCGTTTATATGAACGATTTGAAAACAAAAATCACTGTTGAAATTGCAAATATTTAAGCATATCTGGAGCATGCTTGTTAAGGAAATCGATTATCACCTGGATATTTTTGTGTTATCAAAGGGTTGCCCCTGTTAAACTTCACTTACAGGTAACTAACATTCAATTCAAATTTTTCTTTAAATCCTTATTGAAATATTCTTTGATAAGTGAGGCCTGATTCATGAACCATCGGCAAAATACGCAGTTAGCATGCAAGAAGACTGTACGCCCAGGTTCGAATCCACAGGTGGCCTTCAATGTAGTCATTATTTTCAGAAACGAAAAATATACTAAACGTCTATAGCCAGGCTGTCTAATGGAAATTTTTCAGGTTTTTTCCCATGTGACACACAGCGACCTGATGGCCAATAGGTTAGCTCTCTGACAGTTGGTACCGCAGATTTCAAGTTCGAATCCTGGCGGTGACATGGATGCTTGTGAGAGATTCAGAATCCACGTTAAAATGTAGGTTCCGGGTTAATTAGCATAAAATGACCGTAGAGCGACAAACCAAACCAAACAATGTGGCAGTTACAGCTAAATGCTATTTCGAAAGGCAATGGCATGCCTTCCCGTCATTACCCGTCGGCGAGTTGTTCATGGCATACTTATAAGTAGAACAAAAGACCCACCTGTTGATATTCAATAAATAAATAAATAAAGTAGTAAAAAAAAATGCTGACCAATAAAACATTGTGTTAATGTTAATATACAATAATTTATTTATTTGAATGTTTAGTGTCAAAGTTATAAAGATAAATCTCATATATTTAGTTGATATTATCTTATTATAATATTATTCACTGTTGATATTTTGAAACCAAGAATGAAAAATCAAGTTTAATTTTATACTTTAATCTATAGTTATAAACATTTATCTAATCTTTTATTGTGTTATAAATTCCTATTTGTTAATAAAGCGAATGCCGCGAATCTCTTTTTGGTATTATTATGCGTAAACATAACATTATCCTAGTATAAAATCGATATTGCAAAAAAAAAAAGTAAACAAATAAAATTGAGACTTGTAAAACGTGACCTATTTTATAACTGAACTTGAAACTGATAAAACTATTAAAAATACATCTTACACATATTCTAAAGAACTCAAGATTTTATTCATTTTAATGAAATTTGTGAAAGTACTGTCGTTAAATACACCCAGAAAGAAAATACAATTTACAGTTGAATCCAAATGAATAATTATATAATTTATTGCTATTAAAAAATTAGCGCATCAAAAATGAATAATCGTACCGTTACGAAACTTGGCATTGAAAGTTTGTGTCCAGGACACATGCAAATGATTGAAATTGCAGCATTACTGCACATAACATATGGCCTGTAGAGATTGTTGGTGTGCTTCCACAATATCCATTAATAATCGTTCTGAAGTACTCTGTATATATGTTCTGTAAAGAAACGCTAAATCGTCGGAGATGCTAATACGCCGCCATCAAAGTAAGTTATAGCAGTTATCGGAGTGTGAGAAAGGAAAATCATTAGGAATATAGAGACCAACTCAGTGAGTTACCCATCATCTCGGCCATTTTGATAATATTGTTAGGTGTTGAGACCTTTACACATAACGCACCCTGGATCGTGATTCCCAATAACAGAGAGAACAGCGTCGTTGTCCAACATATACAAAATGAGCGACTGTATCACAGGAAGTATGATGTTTACAAAATTGTGAGGTATACCATTTCGATGTGCTTGGCTGACATTCATTTATTTATTACAGCGGCTTTCATTATGTGTGCTACCCCTGAAAGTCACTCACTACTTAATTGAAGACAATACAATTCGATTTAGGTTTTGGTAACAAATTCGCTGCTAGGCTATTTTTTTTAAAGAGTTTAGGGGCTATTACAGATTCAGAATATCCAATAACCGCCTCATCGATCAAGCACACGCATGAGAAACTGCATGATCGTCCTACATCCATACACAGGAGGCATGATTGTACCCCTGAGAGGCGTCTGGCTCATATTTGTTCATTATCGCGGAGCTCATTATGTGTGCTACCCCTCACTACTTCAATTTAGGTTCTGGTGACCTAGACCAGGGGGTCGGCAACCAGCGGCTCGTGAGCCACCTGCGGCTCTTTGGATGTGAAGCTGCGGCTCTTTAGCTCCATACGCAAATATTATTTATTTTATCAAAAAAAAAAAAAAAAAAAAAAAACTATTTAAAAATCTTTTAATCATGTATGTACGTAACGCAACAAAAGTGGACAGCTTTAAAAGAAATGCTTATATTCGAGTTGCATGGCACTTATATTCGAAGAAGTTGGCATTTGGAGTGCTGACTATCTTCGGATCGACGTTCTCTTGCACGAATATAATTATAAGTAAAGTAAGAAGCCAACTAACAAATGAAAATTTAGAGTCGTGTTTGAACTTAAAACAACAAGTTATGAGCCAAATTTATCCAAACTTTCTAAAACCATGCAAAGCCAACGCTCCCATTGAATTAGTAATTAATCTAATGATGCCATATATATATTATCTAATTTGTTGTGAAAAACACTACTTATATATGAATAAATAGATATTTTTCTTGTCAATAAATAGATTAGTTTTTTTTTTTTTTTTATCAAAAAACTTTATTTATGCGAGTACTATTTATTGTTGGTAAGAAAACATTTTGTGGCTCTTTAAAAACTTAGAAATTGTAATTTTTGACTCTTCCGACTCAAAAGGTTGCCGACCCCCTGACCTAGACCATTTAGATAATTTTTGTAAAGTGTTTAGGACCCTCGCACACAACGGCCCTGATTCCGACATCCAATAACCACCTCATCGACCAACAAGCACACACACATAGGAAATTACATAATTGTCACGACATCCATGCGCAGGAGGCGTGGTTTGTATTTATCCGTACCATTGTGATGCTCTTGACTGACATGCATTCATTATAGAGGTGCTCATTATGTACACTAACCTGTCAGCCACCCACTACTTCTCTGAAGACGATCCGATTCAATTTGGGTTCTGATGGAAACCATGCTCATGTTTTTTAATGCTGCATACTGTGTGTAGCGGCACACCGCACCCATACCTAGTGTGATGGTTAGGGATGTCATTGCGTACAACACTCGAATCTCTTTTGGAATGATTCGTGGCAACATAGCAAAATTTCAATAGGTTCTGACTAGGGATTGCAATACCGGTATTTTGAGCAATTTGTACAATTTTTGTAATACCGGTATTCACAAGTTTAAATACCGTTTTTTTCGGTATTTACTAGAAATTTAGTATTCTTATGCGTGAAATTCTTATTCTATAACAAATTCTTTATTCTTATTCTATTCTCCATAAACCTATCCATTATGATGACACTAATGTCGATAGTGAAAATTAATCGTCTCTTGAACAAAAATTAGAATTGGCTATGATACCTAAAAAATTTCAACAAATCAAAATACAATACAGAAATCAGCTATATCCAAAACAATCAGACAAGAAATAGATTTATTTGAAGAGGAGAGATTTAGAGGTAAATACTTGGAAAAAGTACATCGCGCATTGCTAACAGAGCGTTTTCGACAGCTGGTAATTATTGCATAAAATTACGTTCCAGGCTTAATGATAGTACAATTGATGCATTATGTTTTTTAAGATCACATTTCAAAATTTGTAATAGTACCACAGACTGAATAGTGATATTTACACTTTTTTGTGATTTAAATAAATAAGATCTTCCTTTACTTTTTGTGATTCTTTATATACTGTTATAATTTATAAGTTACAATTTTTTTTTGGGATATTTACATTCTCTAATAAAACTCACAAATAAAAAAAAAACACCTGTGTTTTCTTTCTTTTCTAAAATTTCTACTGCCGGCATCCCGGTATTAGATCTAAAAATACCGAATACCGGTATTGAACTTTTGGTCCGATATTGCAATCCCTAGTTCTGACAATTCCTTTATCTTTAATAACAAACGTATATTAAAATGTTGATAAAACAGGAAAAGCATTGAAAGTGACGATGAACTCATCATGGATCCATCTCGTTTGCATGTGATTTCCTGAAGCACAATAAAGGAGTATTAATGAAGTGAAGATGCAGTATAATTCCCATTTTGAGAAAGACTAAGAATCACAGTTTCTGAATGATATCGCATTTTCCTACAAAACTGCCCTTTTTTTCCTATTCACTGGTGACGGATGCTTGCAATGCAAAGCATCTTGTACACTTTCTAGAGCCAACGGCCATACCATGCTGAATAATAAGGCCCCGGTTCTCGTTAGATCACCGAAGGTATCATTGGGCGCGGTCAGTACTCGGTGGATGACCACCTGGGAACACCGCGTGCCGTTGGCATTCACACATTTGGGTCCTGAATGGCCGAGTGTCTAGCTCTCGTTGCCACAGGTTTCGGGTCTCGAATCCCGGAGGTGCCATGGATGTTTGTAGTGGTTCGAATCCACTTTAAGCCGTAGGTCCCGGTCTCACTACGACTGTAAGAGCGTCACGGAGCCAAAGTCAGCTTTCTACCCACGGGTGCTCCATCACAACAGAAGCCGCTTTCCCCTTCAATCATGAGTGTTGTATGGCTCGTGGGCTTGGCCAGCCAAGTGGATAATAGTACCAACAAAACAATGAAACATTTTCTAGTGGTTGTATGTAGACAGAAGCATTAATAGTTTGTCCATGCGGGGATTTATCATTTATAGATAATTACAGTCATGTCCACCATTCCCATAGCATCATGTTTTAAAAGCTGGAGTGGAGCTTTCAAGGTTCAGATTCAAATCAAGGGGGCCTTCAAATCATAAACTAACGTTTGGCGCTCGGTGCCAAAGGGTTTCTTGTTCTAGTCTCGATGGTGCCTTGATGTTTGTAGTGGCTCGAATCCACTTTTTAAGCCGTAGGGTGACGGTATAATATGGTTGATATGCGTTGAGCGTTGGACGTAGTGGATTGGACAACCCTACCCCGTAAAATGAAAAACATCTCTCGTCTCGTAATCTGCGAGTAGGCAGATTGCCTTGGCCCACAAAAGGGCTGCTGCGCCAATGATGATGATGATGAATTCAAAAACCTATCTGTGACTTTCAATGATAAGAACACGTATGGCTCGTATACTGGGTCCCTTTATCACGTTAGCTGGTAAACCAGAAATGATCCGTTCCCTCAGTAGAAAAAAGTGATGGATAAAGATAACCATTAGATTATGGTGTGCGAGATTCTAGTAGGGCAAATTTGTTACCGTCCGAATCCCAGTTAGTACAAATGGTTTTTTTAGAAATGATACGTGGAAGTTATCTGGTAAGATCTTGACATGTTTTATAAGGAAATTTGTTTCAAGGCACCTTACATCATGCTAGACACATGTAAGCACTCTTGAATGTGGCACACATTTCAGTAATTCATCGACGTAACAAAATCTCGGCGTGTTTCTTTTGTAAGATACGTTCAGTTGCGGCATCATGTCCTAAAGCTAATTTTGTATAATTTTTGGGTGCCTCAGCAGCATTTGTGGCTACTTTGTACCTTCGCATAAAAACATACGTTAAAAAACCCCAAATCTATGAACAACCTAAAAAAAAAAAAATCTATGGCACTTAATGTAATCAGTTTTAAATATGAAAGGTAAACTTTTTGGTAATTAATGATGAAACATGAACATTTTCATATTTCTATAACTCTAAGTAAAAGCGATTGAATTGTACTGCTTATATGATATTAAATGAAGCATCTTAAGCATAAATATTAACGCCTAAACTCATTATTTTTATTGGTGATGTAAATTGCTTATTGAAAGCAAAAAAGAATAGAAAATGCTTATTACTATATATATTTCTGTGTTATTTTATCTTTGCCTCAATTTATTAAGAAAATTATAAAATTTAGGTTAATTTTTAATTATATATCAAAGTAACAAGTATATATATATATGTGTGTGTGTGTGTAGAAAGAAGCAAAACTTATCTATGAAGAAAGAAATACAAAGAAGAAAGAAGCAAAAGTTTACAGAGATATTTTTAAATACTATTAGTTTGCAGAGCATTAGATATTTTCTGTATTTAAATACATGAAAATATGTATTTTGCAAAAGTACTGACTGAGTTCTGAGAACAGAATATTTCATTTTCTTTCTGGTAAATAGAAAAAAATAATGCAGGAAAACATCAAAAATGCGGTTCGTTTGCTTTCACATCCTAAAGGGACTTCCTCTCACAATGAAAGTCATGTTTTCTGATATTGAATTTTCCAATTTATATTTCTTTGTAAATATTGTTCTAGCCTCAAGACTTCCATCAGAGCTTAATTCCTCCCTTTCCACGTTAACGGAGCGTTTTTTTTTTCCCTTTAAAAACCTCAGAATGTAATTTTATTTCTACCTGGTTTCTTATTTAATGTTTTGGAATTCCAGTACCAAATAAAGAAACCAAATCGGCAGGAGGAAAACATCTAAACCTTGCCTTTGCTACTCCGGCTCTCTGCTTCTAGAGATTTTATGCCAATCACAGAAAAGGAGGCTTTTGGGGGGAAAATTCAAAAAAAAGAATTAATAAAAAAACAAAAATAAATAAATGAAAAGGTTCCGTTCTTTTTGGGAAAAGTCGGGTAAAACTTTAATTTTAGCAACCTTCCTTTCTCCAAACAGGAAAGAATCTCAGAATTTGTTTGATTCGAAAAAAGGAAAAAAACATATTCTAAATTAAAATTCGAATAGATACCCTTACAAAAATAAATTTTAAAAGTTTGAAAGAAAACTCATTTTCAGATTTGAAATTGAAACGCAGTGCATCTACAGCAATATTGAAACTAAATGAAGATAATATTAGATCAGTAGCCGAAATTATTTTTGACGCATTTTACTGCAGTAAAATAATTACAAGGACGTGATGGCCGAGTAATTAACACTCTGAGCCACAGGTTTCTGGTTCGAATCTCGGCGTTTTCATTCTGGTTCGAATCTCGGCATGGATGTTTGTAGTGGTTCGAATCTACTTTAAGCCGTAGGTCCCGGTCCAATATGACTGTAAAACAGTAGGGCTGTTAACCCTACTCCATAAAAAGTCAGCATCACGCAGTCAAGTCAGACTTGTACCTACGAGTGCTACATCACAACAAAAGCTGCCCCTCTTCCATGAGACACAGTTTCTGACTTCATCTAGACGTTGCTGTCTACCAAGTGGGATAAGAAACAATAGAGAGTTTTTGCATACCATACGTTAGTTAAGGAAACATATTTCCTATGAGCATGGCGCTAGGGAGAAAAAGCTAACGGACGTCCTACGGTAACTAACGCGCACGGTATGCAAAAACTCTCTAATAACAAACTATTACAAACATTATTCGAAGACTAAATATCCTTAGAATTTTCCAGGTTTTTTCGTACACGCAAAATAGATTATTCAATTCTTTTCTATTAGCTCACTCTCTCCTCTGTATATCTTGTTCAAATTTTCAAATCGGTAACAAAATACTTTTTATTCTTCCACTCGAGTTCAAAAATGCATTTTTTTTTTGAACTTGTAGTGGATGACACTGGATGTTAATACAGTTTTTTCAAATATTAATCCATTCATTAAA